CCTCAGAGACAGATGCTCCATTCAAGTGGCTCATAAAACCACCAAGAGCATTTCTTGTCTTTTCTTCATGGAGGGGGGCAATTTATACTTGCTGCCATCCAGGTATTTAAATCTAGGATATTGCCTCAACTGCTATACAGAATCCCAATCTGGATTATAGGATTTCACCCAAATACTGAGTGTGTTCCCACAATTTTTAAAAGATTTATTCTTGGAATGTGTCTGTCTCTGCAACAGATTTATGACTTGAGACAGGTGTTTCATCACTAGAATGCTCTGCCTGGCTACACACTTTCAGATATTGGATTAAAGTGTCATATGCTGACACTTCTGTAATATATTTACACAGAAAGACATCTACACTAGTTCCTGGTTTTAAAAAGTTTCTACTCAACATCACTTATTAGGTCTGTCTATGGATTTTCTTTACGCTCATAAACTCAAGGCATTTAAATCTATTTTAGAAAACTAGATATGGGGTACTGACTTTCAATATTCCATATCAAATGCCTGCAAAACCTGCTCTCCTCTGTATTTTGGTCTGAACTTTGAATGTCCCCAAAGTGCCAGATATATATGGAAAATCTGAATATCCCAAACTATTGGCAAATCTTTTCAAGAGCCAGATTTACCAGTAACTGCCTTCCATGTGCAATATTAGATGGTGCCATTATGGTTTGCCATATGAAAATTGACTATAGTTCTGTAATGACAAAGAAATTGAAACTTTGACGCCTGTCCTTTTTATGTGTGAACTTTTTACAGAAATGAGCATATCAGACTCCTTAACTTTGCAATGAATGATTTCCCAGGTAGGACCCTGGATGGCTACTTAAAATATTTCCCAGCTAACCCAAATGAATCTAAAACAGAACTAGTGGCCAGATTTCTTCTTTTGGCTCAAAGAATACACAAGATAATCCTTGCCCATTTTATAATACTTATTTGTTTTTAAATCATGCCCAGTTCATTTTTTAATTGTTTTTATTAGTTTTGTTGGGTCTGTGAGCACCCAATGAAGACCGATTGATTGAGTCCTTGTTTTCTGCAGGGATGTACAATTTTGCTTCCATTTTTAGCCCACAGCACAGAAACTACTGTTTTCCCTTACAAGCTGAAACTCCAGCAGCTAAATCAGCAAGGCTGCAAATAAAGCACAGCCATCCATTTAGAAATGCAAATCAAATGGGCTAGAAATCCATTCATCAGTTTAAGAGCTCACAGTCTTTGGATTTTAAGGAAGTCAAATTTAGAATGCGGATTAAGGGACTATATGAACAATTTTGCTCAGCATTTTAGCTAACTTCGGCTTCAGGCAGGGAATATTCAGCTCTGCACGGATAGAAAGCATCCAATCCACATTGACACCCAAAGCTTCTGAAGGTTATTGTTTTCGATTACAACTTTCAGAATTCCATATCTACCAAGGCCATTGGGAGTTACAGACCAAAAGAGTAACATTTATAAGCTAAACAGAAGTACTACTTTTGTTTTTCCATACTGGAAAATACAGCAAACAAGACTCATGCAGTTATTCATAAGGAATCTGAACTGTACATTGGTCTTATTTCACAGCCACTAGCTAGGAAAAAGATCCAGCGGGTGTGATAGATGGCTCGATGGAAACATCAGTTCAAAATGCAATTATGAAGAAAATGCAAATTCCCCACAAAGAATTTCTCCTAGAAAAAAAGAAAAATAATGGAAGTAGCACTGTGATATTTCTGTGATATAACATGAGAAACAAAAACTACGGTATGGCTACATTTGGATGGCCTGTACTGTTTTAATCATCTTCGCTCAAAACTAGATGGTAAAACTGGGAAAGATGATTCAAAGCGTTGGAGCACCTTCTGCATGTAGAAAAGGTTAAAACAGGTCTGAAGTGCTTCTACCATGCCTCCACAGTAGGTTTGGGAGATGCTCCCCCCCCCCCAATGTTCCTTCCCTCCCAAAGTCTCATAGATTTCTCTCCTTATTCCTTGCCTTTCAACTGAGTTGAAGGTTCCAGGATGAAACAGGTTGTCTTAGATTCTTGCTTTAAATATTGTTGCTACATGTTCTTTTGCTTCTGATTAGATTATGAATATGTTATTCATATTCATCTTCCAGGTGAGCCCTTTGGACCCACCCCCTGGAATCTGCTGGTCTACTTACCACTTGCAGCGAAGCACATTATCAAAAAAAAGAGGAAGTATTTCCCACCTCTGTCAATACTTAAGAGACCTGATTCCACGTTCATTCAGGAAGTTTCTTTCATATCCCTTCTGGGCTTCCAATTCTATGGTATTCTGATACTCTTCATTTCTAAAGGTTCAATCATATTCATTCCAGAAGGGCAGAAAGAATTAAGAAGATGGGCACTTTCTCCTTAATATCTGAGTTTATTTATATTTAAAGCTGTATGCACTCCAAATCTGGAGACAGCATTTTGTTTGAAACTGGTCTACAAATCCCTTTCTTTGTTGACTATGTTGTCCACTGCTGTGTCTACAAACATTGTTCACTGTGTATTCTGAGAACTGTAATCTTAAAAAGAAACATTTCCTATCTGATTAGACTTCATTTTGTTTATTCATTCATTAATTCATTCATCTGTTGTTTAAAGGCACTTCAGGTTCCAAACTCAAGTGTATATCAACTCTGAGCATCTTTACCTGTCTGCATTTAAATGTCCCTGCTGTTACTTAGAACTTAATGCAATCATTATTTACTCATTTATTGATTTATATCCCACCTTTCTTCCAAAAGGACCCAAGGCAGCTTAGATCACAAGGGTGTGGTTACTTGACCGAAAAAGAGGGATGGTGAGGAGCAAAAGGGCAACCACTTTTCATTAAGAGAAACAATGCTGTCTTCATGGTTAGAAGTCCATCTCCAGTTTTAAATGGAGGTTGTTGGAGATATCAAATGGTGCAGAGGCAGCCTGAACTTATTTAAAAAGTGAACTGCCATTTCTACTAAGACAGCTATTCATTTTGTGTCTAATTTTAAAAAAAGAAGAATGCTGAGTGAGGGCTTCGGCTACAACCATATGTTGATCTGTTTTCCTATCTTACTAATATGTCTTTTTTTTTGGGAGAGGTGCATCACTTTCATAGCACACATACAACCACATTGTTATTTAGAAAAATGCAATATTCACCCCTTTGGGAGAGTGAGTGGTGGACAAAATTATGGCTATACAAGTCTCGCAGGCCCACATTGGCTAGCACCTGTACCTGCACAGTTGATAAGGGACACAGTTCCAGTTGTGTGAAATTTTGTGATACTGAACAGCATTTGTGTTCTTTTTAAATTGCTTTGCAAATCACTGACTCCCTAATCCCACCTACCCACCATGCTCTACATTTGTCCAAGACATCTTTCAAGAGCAGGTGGCTAGTATGGTAATTTTTGCATTGCATTTCAGCAAGGACCAACACATGAGAAAGTCTAAAAGAATGTGCATTTTCTTCCTTGGAAACCCGGCGCTCTAAATCCAGAACTCACGCACAGAGCAGCATATAAGCAGGCTCTCTCTTTTGCTGAAAATAAAACAATAAAATAAAAGGGGAACCAGTTACATGGCTAGAAAAAGACATGTGTACACAGTTTCCCTTGTTATAGAGGTGATGACAGAAAACTTGGTAGATGAGCACGTTCTACTTGTGCACTCCTTTCACAGGTGGCTAAGAGAGCAAACACAGTAATATACTTAATTTTACAATTCAGAGTAATGTTTTAGTCAGGGCACTCTATTCACATAAATTATAACACAGATTTTTTTTCATCCAGGCACCACCCTCCCCCATCCCTTTGTGTTGACCATTCCTTTGTTAATCTCTACATTTGATTTTCAAATGAAGACTGTGGACATGAGGAGATGCTACCCTTCTATCTTTCCATTAAACCCTACGTTCTGCATTTTGGGGCAAGTTTAGAATGACCTTTGCATGTCAGCAAAAGGCAGCAAACACTAATTAGAGTTTATGACCTTGTGTCTATCATACCAGCTGTCAACAGTCTCTAAAGACAACTTATGAGTGTCTCCAAACAGCTAGTGGAAACTACTTTTCTTTCTTTTGGAACAAACAAGATGTAATATAATTGTGTGCTTTCGGGGTTTTTTTTCCTGAGTATAAAAGCATTTCTTCTGATTTTCCTACAATACCTAAGTAGGAACCTTTCTTTAATTCTTCCTTGCTTTGCCTTGCCTTGTTTTTTAAGACTGCAGTTGTTTTCATTTTCTAATATTGCTTTTACCACAGTGAAATATGGTAAAAGGAATATCACCAAAGCTCAAATGAACAGGACAGAGCAGGGTTTAGGGTGTGAGTGAAGGTTTGTTAATGATACAGGCTTCATGCACAAAAAACGGGAAGTTCCATTCCTGGAAATCTGACTGGAAGTTCCATTTCGAGGAAGCTGCAAAGGACCACTGTATGTCTGCTAGTCAACAAATGGGTAAGTTGAGACATTCAGAGTAAAATGTTGTATTGACCCATCTCTGGAGTCTATACAGCATCAAGGCAAACCCAGACTAATGATGCATTAGCAAGCAAAAGATTATGATGTCACCACAAACATAAAAGAAAGAGAGTACAATTTTCAAAAACACTTAGCCAAAAAAAGGGGGACAGGGATATCGGAAAGAAACAAACGGGCGATTTTCATAAAAGTGCAATTGAAAAGTGTATGAAAAGCTTACAAGTCTAGGAATAGTGGTTTATTATTCTATACAAAAAATAATAATAATTAGCATTAACAAATGTAAGAGTTATGTACAAAGATCCGTTCAATATAATTTTTTATATCGTTTGTTTGTTTGTTTAAATCATTTGCTGTTGTTGCCCAGATTATATTTACCCACACCTCTAAAATTCTGTGGTTTTTTTGCTTCTTTGTATTCTTCTCACATATTGTTTGCTTAATAGGAAATTAAAAAGTCAGGAATTAGCCTGCAAGGGGATGGGAGAGAAATAATTCGGCGAAGGTTGCAGCAAATGGCATAAGGATACAGTCCCTTCCTGGAAAGAGGATTTTGTGGCGCACCATTTCTCCCATAATGCATCCTACTGACCATATATCCACTAGAAACAGCAGAGACAGGGAGATGAAGAGAGAAAGGGGAAGGAAAGGAGAAGTTAACTAAGACACTTTGGCTCCTAAAGGAGGGGGAAAAGAGCAGGTTGATAAGAGAAAGCACAGTTTTATGCACCTTCCACCAAATCCACGAAACTTTTTAAAAAAAAATACACACAAACAAAGATGTCATACACAGAAGTCGCTCTGAGGTCCAACAATTCAGGAAACATAAATTTCGTCCACTCTTTCAAAAGTTTTTAAAAACATTACAAAATTATATAACTTTTTTTAAAATGTCCCATTGTAAATGTGAAGTGAGCTACAAATAGAGCATCTAAATCCAGTACAGACTTGCTTTGGAATTGCTTTAACTCTGGTGTACACACATAATCAGACAGGGGCTCAGCCTCCATTGAAAACCTATTTGTTTAACCAAGCATCAGCTGATTTTAATATGCGAGTATCTCCCCCCCTTACTATTGATTATTGTATTTGGCCAGGATCCTATGGCTAGTTTCAAACAGAGCAGACCTGCTGATTCAATGAGGTTTGCATAAGCATTGACTTTACTACGCAGCAGTTGATTCAAAGAATGAACTCTGTTTGGGGCTAGCAGCAGGATGCTGGCCTTTGTAGCTTGTTTTGAAGAAATTGTGTTAATCTTAATGAATTCAGTAATAATACTAATGATAATGGTATTTGTAAGCAATTTCAACTTGGTTCAGAACCTTAGGAGATCAGGGTTCAAATTCACATGAAGAGCCTCTACAGATGGCAGAAAGTGTCCCATTTAGACTTTTCCCCCTCTATGTATAGTGGGTAATGGAACCAAAGGTGGAGGAGGGTGTGATCAGCATAGACCCCTCTCCCGGTGTTTCCTCTACACCGTTCTGAATAACAAAACAAGCCTTTGGTGTTCATCAACTACATGTTTCAATGAAGCCATTTCTGCCTAACAATACAGTGGACCCTCTACTTATGGAATTAATCCGTATTGGAACAGTGGCTGTAGGTCGAAAAGTCTGTAGGTCGAGTCTCCATTGACCTACAATGCATTGAAAACAGGTTAATCCTTTAACCGGCCGTTTTTGTTCCATTTTTGTTCCATTTTGGCTTTTTTTCTGGTCTGTAGGTCAATTCTCTGGCTGCAAGTTGAACCTAAATTTTGTGGCCAGAGAAGTCTGTAACTCAAAAAGTCTGTAAGTCGAGCTGTCTGTAAGTTGAGGGTCCACTGTACTTTAAAAAATGGGATCTCTTCCATGCATATTTTTTTCTTCTTACAGGACAAAATATATTGTAGGATAAAATGTGCACTTTTTGGGGTGGTCAGGGTCCACTGTACTTTAAAAAAATGGGATCTCTTCCATGCACATTTTTTATTTTCTTCTTACAGGACAAAATATATTCTAGGATAAAATGTGCACTTTTTGGGGTGGTAAGAAGGAGGAGAAGTACATTAACTATTCTAAGCAGGGTGTTTTAATTCACTCTAAGGGTGGTCAGGTCATCAAAGGTTATGATTGCCATTTGTGTGAGCATATGAAAAATGAGTCCAGTGCTTTGTAAATGCACCATTTGTGTGAGCATATGAAAAATGAGTCCAGTGCTTTGTAAATGCACCACTTCCAACTTTCCCTGACCCTCAAGTTCTAATAGTGTTTTCACATATTACTTTCCCTTGCAAGAGACACCCAAGCATAGTCTGCTTGTGACAATTTCTAATGCAGATTGCTATTTCTTGATTTGCAAATAGCAATTCAAGAATGCATCTTTTCTTCTTCTCCCTTGGCATCTGCAGTGACCTTGACCTCATGATATGTTACCTTCCAGTTGAGTATACACATGTGTGATGCAGCCAATAATTGGCATGATGATTAAGTCTTTTCCACCAGGTAATGTTCCCTCTGTCTTGGGGAGATGACTAAATAGGAAAGAGGCATATGATTGGAATCAACTCACATAGGGGATCTTAAGGGATTCTATAGCTACCACCATGGGACTCTAGGTATGAGGAAAGGATTCCACCTACAGCACGTTGCTCCTTCTTCAAAGGAGTTATGCATGGTGTTTACTGTACTTGATTACATAAAGTCATCTTTGGAAATGCGCCTAAATTAATAGGTATGCTGCTCCTTCTTCAAAGGAGTTGTGCATGGTGTTTACTTGATTACATAATGTCATCTTTGGAAATGCGCCTAAATTAATAAGACTGGGCTGGGGAAGGGAAGCCATCCAAATGTTACAGCTTAAATAATGTTCTTCCCTCAAAAAAATAAAATTAAAAAGTATATGGTTGTTGTGGGTTTTTCAGGCTCTTGGCTGGGGAAGGGAAGCCATCCAAGTGTTACAGCTTAGATAATGTTCTTCCCTCAAAAAAATAAAACAAAATTAAAAAGTATATGGTTGTTGCAGTTGTTGTGAGTTTTTCGGGCTCTTTAGCCATGTTCTAAAGGTTGTTCTTCCTAACATTTCACCAGTCTCTGTGGCCGGCATCTTTAGAGGACAGCACTCTGTGCTCTGGTGCAGTTTGTTTGGGAGTTGAGTATTTATGGCTGTGAGATCAGCTTTTGTCCTTTTCAGGAGATGGTTGTTCTTTAAATCTAAGCAAAATCTATAGCTAAGGCTCTTTTCAGTTGTATTTTAAAGTGTGTGGAGCCCATACATGTTGACATATATGGGCTCCACACACTAGCCCTCTCCACACACTAGCCCTCTCCTTGCCTCAATAGAATGGCTGTTCCACTCAGGAAGCCTCTTCAGATGAGCGAGAACACAAAATAATTTAAGTAACCCAGGTGTTCTTGGACTGCACTTCCTAAAAGCCTTCACCACCCAAGTTTAGGAACCATTGCTCTAAGCAATGACAGAGGGTGGGGCTAGTATACTCTCATCAACACATGAAGGTCCCAAACATTTTACAATACAGACAGTGCTTGTTAGAGAAAAAACTAGAAAAATTGAGATATATTAAATCAATGAATAAAGTTAGCTTTCAATTAAACTCTCTCTTACACACACACACACATCAGTTCAGACATCCCTTGTCTAGGGCTTGTCCAGAGTTTAAACCTTAGGAGGCCTGAAATTCAGAAAGCACCTGCTAAATGTTTTGGTCCCATAAGAACAATGGGCAATTGTCAACAACATTGCACAGTCCTCATGAGCAAAAGCGAATGTAGGTGTCTGGCCTAAGCAGGGAAAAAGGGAAAAAGCCATTGTCTTCACCCTTCTGTGCCACTGAGACACAAAAAACCATACAATTAAATACATGTTTCGATTCAGGATGGAAAGCTGCATATAAAAATACAGAGTTCAAGAACAAACCTATAATATTGCCATGAATTTTAGACATGCCTTGATCTCAGGTGAAACCACAAACAAAAATATAGAGGCTCTAAAAACCATTTATTTAAAAATGTTAATGTATGGGACAGAATTCTCAGGAGGAAATTGGTGAGAGAGGTGGAGAAGTGTTTTAAACTTTTCTCCATTCACTTATACTCCTTTGCAAACCTTTCTCTTATGGAATTTCTCCCGACCTCTTTCCCAAGGGTTGGGTAGGGTTAAGACAGAGGATGGCAGCTGTCCATGATGCTCCTACCCACAATCTAATTTTATGGAACCAAGGATCAAATCAGATATGAGGAGACCATTCTCCATGTGTCTCTGCCCTAGTCACAGTTAAAGCAAACTGTTGTGAGAACACAATGGAGACGAGTGGTGTAGAATACTTCACCACCATCACTTCAGAGAAAAGTAACCAGTGCTCAGTGGAAGCTGGTGACTGTTTGCAGAGGTAGTGGAACTGCTTGAGGCTTTAGTCTAAATTTTAAATGACCTCTCCAAGGTGCTGAAACTGTTTCGAGGATAGGGTCCAGTACTTTGGACAGCTCCAGCAAATTCCAGTCAACGATTTGCCCCCTTCATTCTTGCTTGGTGGCGAGCCATCTCATGGCTTGGAATTCTTCAACAAAGTATCTTGAATTGAGTCAAGTCTATCTAAATCAACAAGAGCCAAGGATGTGGTGAGCATTCTTCACAGCTCTGGCACAGGGTTGATGTGCACACTAGTCCTGTCTGCATGTTAAAGGGGAAGGTTTGAAGAGGACTTCTGCCTGCCTGCAGGTGAAGTAGATTACAGTCCTCAGTGGGAATGGGAACTCTATCCAATTCATAGTGAAGAGGTCAAGTCTGCTCTCATTCCTTATGGTTATTGAACACTTGAAAATGTGTTAACGTGTGTTTATAACTGGTCAAGGTGAAAGGCAGCTGCATCCAAAGGGGTGTTTACTAATAATAGTGTGAGACGTCAAACAAGAGAACTACAAAATGTGTACTCTACCCTCTATCCACTCAAAACATCTGGCTGTATTTTGAGTAAGAACTGGTCTGAAACGCGGTTCAGACACTGTTTGGCACGCAGGCTGCTGCCATTATTCCCATCTCTCCCAATTTTACCCAGTTTTATTCCAGGGGATGGAGAGGGTTGTGAAGCAGAGAAGGCTCATGGCCACACAAATAGAAGATTCCCTGGCTAAAAATAATATTTTTGGTGTTAATTCTGGCCAAGAAGTTAGTATTTTATGTGTGATCAAAGATATGGGTGGCGACACCAGATTACAACTGCAAAATCAACAAATTGCCCAAGAGAGGTGAGGTAGCCATGGAACCCCCTGTCCATTCCAACCCTCTTTCTCAGTGTTTGTAGATGGCCACGTTTCCATGCAAACAGTGCTGTAGAAGACATAGTTTGGGATCAGGGCTGGAAAAACCAGGAAAACGTATAGTTATCTCCCATTAAGCTAGGAAATGGAAAGATACAGGTGAGATTATACAGTCCAGGTGGCAATCCAGCACCTTTAACAATTCAGGAGCACATTACAGAAAAGGGGGGACATAGACCCCATATAACATACACATCATCCTTCTGAATGTTTAGTTTGTAAGAATTTTTTACTACATCAAACACATTTCTTCTCTTTTTTCTTCCCCCTCTTTTTCTTCCTTTAAATATAAACATAAACAAACACTAACCAAGCAAAATTATTTGGTTAAACACAACAAATGTGAAATGTTTCATCGGGAGAGGGAGGAACAGAGTGGGTGAACAGGACAGCAAAAGCAAGCCTGACATAGTTGGAATTGCTCTCCAGTTTAAGAGGGGGGCGGCTATAGAGCAATTTTGGCTCCCATGGAACAAGATGCAGCAAAGGGGTCTTTATAAACACAGGTGCCAAGAGAAAATGAAAGCACGGAACTGGCCTTAGACAGGCAGGACACACTGGTGAGAAAAGCTTAACTTGAATTATGCCAAAAGAATATTTTTCCAAGATTTAAGTTGATTTAAGGACTAGTTAAACAAAAACAGATCTTGAGCAAACAAGATCTCTCTCATTCTTGCTCTCTCTCTTTTCTTGTATGCAAACTGAATTCCACCATATCTTTCTGTAAATTCAAAACAATGTAAGTCAAGATAGAGCCCAGTCAAACAGTCCAGTCATAACAAGGCATATCAACTCACTACTCACAAGGGACTCTCCACTTACTAGGAGAGACTGGGTGCGTAAATTATCTCACCAATGTAGTTGTACAAGGGGTAGCCGTGTTAGTCTGTGCAAACATTATAGGTGAAAACAAAACTTAAAAAAAAAAGTTTTAAAAAAGACAGGAATGTGGTGGCACTTTAAAGACTAACTTTTTTAAAAAAAGTTTTAAAAAAGACAGAAACTTTAAAGACTAACTTTTTAAAAAGTGTGAGCTTTCGTGGACAAGTCCACTTCGTGTGAGCGTTCATGGACAAGTCCACTTCATCAGACAATTTAGAAGGTGAGGTGACAATTTCTTGCCCCCAGAACCCTATTTTGTGGACAACCGATGAAGTGGACTTGTCCACGAAAGCTCATATTGAAAAATATAGAAGTTAGTCTTCGAAGTGCAACCGTGTTTTCGTCTTTTTTTGATTTTGACCTATAATATCTCACCTATTGCACCCTGCTCGTTCTGGGTTTCCTCAAGCTCACTGGAGCACCTGCTGGAGCCTTGGATCAAAAGCAATATCTCACTCTTAGTTTCTCTGTCAGATGCTATAAAATTAATGACTTGGGAGAGTTCAGAAGCATCTTCCATTTAATTATAACCTACAATAAGAAAACTTTTACCTTAAGCTCTACATCAGCCTTTGGTTTTAAATGGAGGAACACAAGGTGTGCTGCTAATGTGCCAGTGTTATGACTAAATTTAAATAACAAAGAAAATCAAGCTAAAATAGCTGTCTAATTGCCAGCTCACAGATTGCAGTCAGATGTCAGTTAAAGAGCTGCATCACGTTAATTGGATTCTCCAAATTAAAAGAAAAGTGTCTGGAAGACTCACAATTTCCTGGTGACATTTAGCAGCGAAAAGGTATATTTATCTCCGAATGACTTGGAAAAAGGTTACATGGGCAACAGTTGGAACTACTGCATTTCTGCCTTTTCTTTTTGCCATGTGGGTTGTGTAAGATTGACTCTCTACTATAATACCTCTTAAAAACACAATGGCCTTATCTACCTGGTTAAAAGTACCTAACTTGTTCTATTTATATACCAGTTGTTGATGAGCCCCATCTACAGAAATAACACTCTGGGTTGAGCAGTGCCTTTATTACTAAGAAATTACCAATCACTAAGAAATTGCAAATCGCTAAGAAATTGCAAACAGGGTGAGTTTTTAAATTCTTCAGACTTGCCATCAGGTAAAGCTAACATCCCCATATATCACCTTTGCCTGATGAAAAGCCTGGAAGAATTTAAAAGCTTGCCTTGTCTGTTTTCAGTCATCTAGTAAAAGTGTTAGTCAACCCAGAATTGTGTTTCTGAGGAAAAAGATTTCTCGGACCTGGTATAAGGCTGTAAAAGGCAGGGCGCACAGCAGAGGGGTGACAGGAAAACCTCTAAACTCTGTCACAGACACAGTAACATAACCCTGCACTACAGCTTAATTCAATTTTAGTCCTAATTAGGGCAAACATATTGAAATCAGTGTCGCTTATGCTAGCAGCATTTTTTTACCAGTATTCACAGCATTTAGGAGACATCCTGCAAATTAAACGAATTTAAATTGCCCTGTTCTGAATGAAAATAATGCCATTCACCAACTGCTAGATGTAATAACAGATTGGATTTGTATGTGTGTGTGTGTACATGAAGTGTACATGAAGTAGGTTTCTCATGCAGAATTTCTGGAAATATAATCTCACTGGCTTATTCATTTATTCTAGGATGTCAGAACTTTTTAAAAAATATTTGTTCTCCTATCTGATTATTATAAATATATCATTTACAAAACTTCTCTACTTTCAGCAGAAGTACATAAAATACATGGTATCTGCAAGCTAGTACAGTTTCTTACACTGCAGCAAATTAAATTTCAGTGCTTCTGCAACTGTAATTCTGTTTATTGTTCTCTGCTTGCTTAGATTTTATAATATATCATACTTGCCAAAGGGGTGGATGTTTTTGTTAATTTGATTAGTTTTACAGGAACCCATGGTTTCAAGCACAGAAGTAAATTTAAATGAATACAGGTCAAGGTCAAGAAAAGGTGGACAATTGTGGTGGACCCAAAATTTTTAACCTAGAGGAGGACAGACAAATACACACACACACACACACACAGAGGAAAGGAAAGGGAAAAGGAAAAGAAAGGGAAAAAGAAAAAGAAAGAAAAGAAAAGAAAAGAAGATGGCTTGAAGTCCATGCTTGGTTTTGAAAAAATAGGTAGTTTTTGGTGCTAAATAATGTGGGGTAGGGCCTCTGATCTATTTACACAGCAAATTTTTGATCTATGACATATCCAGGAGCAGTGATTCACTTTTTTTTTGCTGGAAAAGGGGGCGGGGAGTCTCAAGACCCATACAAATAGCCCTGGATCCACATATGTTTCCCAGGGCACACCTACAAAATGTTTGTGCAATACTACTTTAAAGGATATACAGCCCTAACATAACATAATATGATCAGGAGCCATATTTTGAACTGAGAAAAGAACGCAAGGCTAGCCAAAATAATTTTTGAGATGACATGTCCACAAACTCCCAGCCAGCATGGCTATGTTAGGTAAGTTTAGAGAGTTGTAGAATATTAATTTCTCCAAACCAGGCTCCCTTGTACAGCCTCCTTAAAAGAGATACACACAACGTTGTGTCCATTTGGTCTCCATATTTTTTCCTAATTTTTGTAATATCTACACCACCATCCGTGTTTTGGCAACCCTAACTGCACTAACCTCTTGAAATATTTTCTACTATCTCAGTGAAGCACACGCTGCCCAATTATTTTTATCTAGCTCAAAATCTGTATACTTTTTAAATCCTTTCTACAGCGTGTCCCACTTAATGTTGTCAGTGTTCCAGCCATTTGCTGTAGCAGGTGGGAAAGTAATTTATTCCGTGCCGGCAAAAAAAGCATAACTGGGTAGGATCCATCCCATAAGGTCATATTAAAAGCACAAGAGCTGCCTCAATCATGTGTCGTCCTGGTCAGTTGGCAATCCTGGCTATATTCCATCCCAGAAGCTTAAGTGATGTTTGTGTGTTTATATATCCTACCGTTCTCCTTGTAGCCCATTCCCAATATGACTTCTGGTGCTCTGTAATACCGTGTAACCACATAGGGAGTCATCATGAAGCTCGTGCCTGCAGTCCTGGCCAGTCCAAAATCCAAGATCTTTAACGTGCAGTCAGATTTTACCACAATATTACTTGGTTTTAGATCCTGAAAGAAAAAACAGAGGTGAGGGCAAGGAACAAGGATGAGCCTTGCTTCAAAAATCTACCAGGTTTCAGATCGGCTTCAGATCTGCCACAGTGAAACTGAACGAGATGAAAAATCAAACAGAGGGCTTGAGGTTGGATGATGCCACCAGCAGAAGCTTAAGCTTAATCATTAAGAGAGACAAACAGAGCCATCTCTATCATCAGGTAGAAAGAAATAGCCACCCGAATTAACATCTGTCATATTTTCTTGCTAAAAACAGGGCGAGGTATTTAAAAGACTGTCTGTGTCCTACGACAAAGTAATTTGCTTCATCCTGGATGCCACACACCTCAAACTGGCAGCCATACACCTCAACAAACAAAATGTCTTGGGCTGGCCCTGGAGACAACCAAGGCAATTTTTTCTCCAAAAAAGGCCATCCCTGTATGCCTGACTATAGGTGAAAGGGGAGTCACAGATAGTCACGCACCTAAAGAATGGAACATGATGGCTTACCCTGTGAATGATTCCTGCAGAATGAAGGTGTTTGATGCCACAAAGCATTTGGTAGAGCAGGTAAGACATTCGCTCGTGGTCTAGTTCCATCTGAATTACCTGGCACAAGTTGGCATCCATCAACTCCATTACTAAATAACTAGACGGGAGAATGAAACCACATAATTAATAGAAAACCCAGATAGGATATGTCCTGTAGTGTATAACATTCCTTTTTTTAGTGGGCACACCCATCAGAATCCATTTTGCCAGACAGGAGGATTATAAAAGACAAAATGGAGGCAGAGAGCTAATTCTATAGTCAAGATTAAATCATATGCTATTTGAGGAACCAGTAAGTAACACATGCATCATTTTTGTTTACTGGGAAAAACATATCCTTCAGTAATTGGAGGCAGTAAGAGGGAAATAGTGTGTGCACATGTCTAAGAGTTCATAAAAACTGCACAGACTCACCCTACTGAATAGTTCAGAAGTTTAGGTATCTGGTTTTGGACCCACAGGTTGGGAGTTCAATTCCAAACTGTGCCTCCTGTGGACTCAATGGTTCATTGGATCCCTTCTAGCTCTCCAGTTCTAAGATGATGATGATGATCAGCCATCATTATTTAAGTTGTATTATTTGCATTAATTTTTCAGTTGGTCTCAAGTTTAACTGATTAGCAGCCAGTGGAGGGGGGGATACGTATAGTTAGCAGATGAGCACAGCATTCTCTTCAGAGATAACTAGGCCAAACTACATAACATTTCTCCTCATTTTTATACCCAAGATTCTGGTTTCCAGGATATCTGCCAATCAGGCATCAAATTGCCCTGAACTTTCCAGAAGAAAAGGGTAACTTCTTACCCCTTCACCCAGCTTTAACCATTCTGCTAATTATATTTCTTGGCTTTTATATTTTATGCTTCTGATTGCAATTTATTGTGTTGTATTTGTTTTTAATTGCACTTTATGATATTTGATTTATGTCCCAATTGTATTATTATGATTTTATATACGTATTATTTTGTTTTTCTGTTGTTTGTTTATCTGTTGTAAACCGCCCAGAGTGGCCCTGGCTGCCAGATGGGTGGTATATAAATCAAATTAATAATAATAAGTTACAGAATAAATCATTCTCATTTCCATTCTCTTCTCTGCTCTTGACTGGACAAACACTGGATGGTTGTCCATCCAGCATCTTTTTCTGTACACTGGACAGCCAGGGAGTCTGGGGAAATGAGAAAAGGCAGCAGGATGACGAACTAGAAAAATCTGAGGGCATCTTAAAATTTCATTCAGCTCAGGTTTTCATTCCATGCTAAGCAATAGCAAACAATAGTCATCGGAGATACCACCAGTTCTCTTTCTTGTCTCAGGCAGATAATTTTTATAAAACCATAGGTTACCAGAAAATTAATTTGACACAATGAAAGATCTTTCATACAGACTCTTTTTAAAAAAAAAATGTGATTAGTTCAGAGTGCATTACCCTCCTGTAAAGGGCCTGGATACCTCAGGGAGTTCTGAAGAACCAGCCACTTTGTGAGCGAGCCATCAACACAAATAAATTAAACTGAGCTCCCCAGAGCCAGCCAGAGTTGTCTGCTTGTGTGCACTTGTCCAAGGCCGCCTACTCCCCACGCCATACACTTACACCTTGTTCCTGTATTTTCTCAGGCGCCGCCATTAAGATGCTTTGCACACAACTTTCCATTTCTGCTCTCCAACACCAAGGTGAAAAGGGATTTCCAAATATGGAAAGCCAGTGGAGAGACAGTCTGGAGAGTTTTGCCCATTCTGTCTTCAGCTTCCACACCAGACAATTTCTAAGACGGAGCAGCACTTTCTATTACCTATTACTGCCAGATTTTTAATTTTCACTGCAGTGTATAATGCCCTCTTTCTCCTCTCTGCAACACCTCTCCCCCGCAGCCACCCTAGATTTAGGTTTTACTCTTGTCTGCATTACTTACACATCCTGGAACTCCTCCAGAGATTTCTGTGGTGTGAAGACATTTAATAAACTGATAATCTGAAAAACAGTGAGAGAAGGGAGGGGGAGGGAAGAATGATAATAAAACATTAGCACTTGATCAGATTATGACAGCTTGCTCTACTAAAATAGCTGTGGCTGTTTATAATTGTTGAATTTGTGCCAGCCTATCCTGCTATAAGAATTAAAGGGGGGGAATCTCAGAAACATCAGATTACAGATTGCAGAGAAAAGTAGGATTTTCCTCCTGTTTTTCTCTTCTTTTTTGAAGCCACGTTTGAATATATGTATTGCTCATTCGCATTGGCAAGAACAGGGCAGAATTTCCATTTAAACTGGGTGTTCTACCTTTGAAAATACAACCTCACTGGAAAAAATAAATATATAAGTTGTGAAACAATGAGACAGCATGGCAATGATGAATTCCAAAGGAAGATGGGGGTAGGGGCATGAAGAGTGATTGTGAGGAAAGCAGACAAGCTTCTGAAGAACAACCACTGCCAGCCTCTAATACCTGGGGCCAGCCCTACCATTAAGTAGTGTACGTCTCCTGCCTCAGACAGAAGGGGAAGGTGTGTTGTTGATAGACCCAGCTCTGCCTGGCTCTCAGCCCACTTAGCAGCTCCAAAGGAAGTCTGCTGCCCTGAGGCAAGATTGAAGTGTAATTCAACTGCTTCTATATGCAGTGGGAAGGGGAAAGAGAGGAAACAAGCATTGTTTTCCCCATTTGCCTCAGACACCAAAATGTCCAAAGTCTGGCTGGCTAACAGTGCTGTTGCTATATCTCAAACTGCAATTAAAAGCTATTAATATCCCCTGTAATGTAGGTATTTTAATGATTACTATGACCTACTGGATGGTGGAGGGATGTCCCCAGCTCAACTGAATGTGTCCTGCAATAAATGGTTGGGTTATTCTGAGACCTACAGTCCATGAAGTAGCTTTTCCCATCTCTACAAAGCTCTCAGAGTAACATTACAGCAGTTATTTCTCAGCCTCCACCTTGGCAAACAGAGAGCATTAAGATAAAGGCTTAAACTGGAAACCACAGGTGTGACACAGATACTGCTATGTAATATATTGTAAATATTACACACTGCAGAATTGTTAGCAAGTATAGCAAAGGGAAATTAGGCTTTTACTAGCTGAAATCAGAAGTTGGAAATAATTCGTTACAAATGACAAATTACTTTCAAGTTCTGGGCTCAGTCAAGTTGCTTGTATTATGAGTTACTTCTCATTAATGAGAAACTTGTTCTTAATTCTTTCTTCCAAACATGGGAATGTGTTAACTTCCTTAAAACTCCAACTACAACAGTAGCTAACTACTTGGGAACAGAGGGACAGAATTATAACAGTCCTTAATTATTTCTTACAAGTTACCGTATTTTTCCGTTTCTAAGACACGACACCCCCACTTTTCTAACCCCCAAATTAAGAAAACTTAGCTATGAGTATTCAGCCTCTGGGCTCAGAATGCTGACATTAGGATTCCCTGTTGAATCTGAGCCTACAGGCTCCACCTACAATGAGCTGTGTTCCAATTGGTTTGTTCAGCATCAGCTGATGTCAGTTCCATAAGGCTCATGATTGGCGAAAGCTACGTCTTCTGATTGGAGGCAGCAAAACCTTGTGATTGAAGAAAGCCTGTTTGCAGAGGCAAGGTATGTGCCATTTTGTTCTCTCCATGTTCTCAACTTACTTCTGTGTATAAGACACCCCTCAATTTTTAGTGTAATGATTTTAGGGAAAAGTAGTCTTATACACGGAAAAGTATGGTAACTTTCTGAGCTCTGGCTGATATATATTAAATATGGGTTTGTTTTATTCAATTATTAATTAAAAGAACAAATTACTAGCTGCCAGGCCTTAAATATGAAGGCTGTATGTGGCTGTAAACTGTCCATAATATACTACCTCATGATCTGATCATTACCGGATAAGGAAGCTTAGGAAGCCGCTCAGAGTGGTATAATTATACCAGATGGGCGGGATATAAATCAAATAAATAAATAAATATAATTAAATAAATAGGAAAATAAAAAGATTGCAAACAATGGAATCAAAGAAGGCTGCTAGACCATGAAGGCAAAGTTCACTTCTCAGCTGTGAACTTTGTGAGATACGTCAAAGTCCTTGTTCATAAAATTAGTGAAAACAGTATTATTCAAAGCTGCTTTCAACAACTGATTCTCCTCGATGGGTTTTAGACCTAAGCCACATTGTTGAATAGGTTTTGTTATGTGGGGTTTCATACGGCATACGTTTTAACCTATAAACCACTCAGAGTAGTGCTTCAACTAAAGGGGTGGTATATAAATCAAATAAATAAATACCCTCATGAATAAATTCTAACCTTGACCTCACTCTTGAGTCTAGTCTTATAAGTATCATTATCCAGTATTTAGCATGTGCCAGTTATGTTGCTGTGGACTAGATAATCAGAACACAATTGATGTATTGTCACACAGGAGAAGAGAAGCAGAATTGGTTTTCCACTCTTCTCTACAGGACTTTCATGTGATTTAAATAGGCTAAATCCCCATAGCGACAGCACAATCAAATATGCTGAATCCAGAGCTCAGTGGCTGTATGCAACTCATTTTCTTCTAGCTGGCAAATACAGTGGGGTCTTGACTTGAGAACTTAATCCGTATTGGAAGGCGGTTCTCAAGTCAAAAAGTTCTCAAGTCAAATCTGCATTTCCCATAGGAATGCATTGAAAACCATTTGATCCGTATCTGCTCTTTTCCGTCCATAGAAACTAATGGGAAGCTGCTATTCCGCCTTCAACCACTAGAGGGGGCTATTTTGTTTCTTTTTTTTTTTCTTAGGTCAAGAAAGGTTCAGGGAAGGCAGGGAAAATATAGTCCAGGCAGGACAGTACCAGGCAGTCCGAAGACTGTCTCCCAATCCACTCTCTAAATGCTGGGAGGAGTGAGGACGCAGACAGGCACCCTTTTCACTGGCCAACAGTTAACTGAAAGTTCACATTTTGCACTTTCCCTGCCTCCCACGTGGGTTTTTTTTCAGTTCTTAACTCAAATCTAAGTACTTAAGTCAAGTCAATATTTTCCTATGAGAGCGGTTAAGTCAAAATGTTCTTAACTCAAGCCGTTCTTAAGTCAAGACCCCACTGTAGAGAGCACAGCTAAATGTTTGCCCTGTCCTTGTCAGCCACTTTTGACAAGAGACTATTTTAGCTCCAATCACATCCATACCTCTTAAATCCGAACAAAACAATCAGTGGAGGATATTTTATTCTCGTTTGCTGGAAAACATAGAATCATGCCTTCAAAATAACTGCATATCAAGTGACATTTTCATGAAGATGTAACATTCTGTGTCCCTCTTTCAGTCAGCAATGCTGAATGTTCAGGCTTCTCAATCCCGGCACAAAAAAGAAACTTACATTTTTGTGATTCACACATTTCATGAGGACTAGCTCCCTATAAGCTCGCTTAGCGTGTGTCTGATTTTGAAACGGTCTGCTGAGCTTCTTGATGGCCACATTTCTGTCGAGAATAGCATCATATGCAGCACTGCAAAAATAATTAGTAAAAAAAAAAGACAAGAGAAAAATTATTGCACTGGGTGACTCCCATTGAAAGGTTATCCTCAATAATCCTTCCAAATATTTTCCTTCTCCCAGTATACATATGATTTCATGAATGGCTCCAACTGCTTTATACCAATGCTTGTCAGTCTTTAGCTTTCCAGATAGAGTGGTGCCTTTCACCCTCGCTGTGTGAAAGCATCGTTGAACAGGGCAAGAAAACCAATTGGAACGCATTAAACAGTGTTTAATGCGTTCCAATTGGGCTGAATACTCACCGTTCAATGATGCTTCCGGGCGGCTGGCAGACATTTTTGTGCCCTCCCTTCGCTGAACGAGGGCGCGAAAATGGCTGCGATCAGCTGTCCAGCGGGTCCAAAATGGCCACTGGAACAGCCAAAATGGCTGGCCGCGGCGTTTTCATGCCCTTGGTAAGCAAGGGGAGGGCGCGAAAATGCTGCGCGCAGCCATTTTGGCTGTTCTGGCAGCGTTTTCGCGCCCTCCCCTCGCTTACCAAGGGCACAAAATGCTCTGCGCGGCCATTTTGGGGGCGCGCGGTGGCCATTTTGGACCCGCTGACCAGCTGATCAGCGGGTCGCAAAGCGAAGGTCAGTAAGCGAACCGCTTACCGACCTTCGCTCTATGAATTGTGCCCTATCTAGGTGCTGTTTTGCGATTGCTTTTGCGATCGCAAAAACAGCACCGTTGCACGGATTCATCGCTCTATGGAGTGACCGTTCTGCGAGGCACCACTGTATTTTGGACTTCAAAAGTAGGTACCGTACTGTACAAATAAGCTAAATAGAGCCGAGGAACCTAAAAGGACTTTTTCCAGGTGAGTGAAATGTAGCATACGTCTTCAGGCTGGAACTCACCGACTTTTGCCTGGTAAATTCTTGGATAATTCTGGGAGTTTGAGTACAAAGAAACTCAATGGCACACCTTTAGTTATTATTATTATTATTATTTGATTTATACCCCTCCTGTCTGGACCGATGGACCACTCTAGGCGGCTTCATGCAAATGTTCCTTATATACTTTACCTCTCCTCATATGAGCTCAGAGCTGCAAATTTTTTTTTACATAAAAACCCACAATGAAAATCTCAAGTTGCAAATGCCTGAAATCAGAAATGCAAAATCACAAGCAACATATAATTGCAGGCATCCAAAACCACAAATTAGTTAACTGGATGGCTCACTGGTTTACGTAGTATCTGGCTGCAGAGCCAGCAACTGAAAGTTCGATTCCCCATTGTGTCTCCTGCCAGCTTGTGTGGCTTTGCTCAACCTGCATAGTCAGAGGGTGCCCTCAGAAGAAGGGACTAGCAAACCACTTCTGAGTACAGTGGTGCCTCACTAGACAGTTACCCCACATGACAGTTTTTTCGCTAGACATTTGCTTTTTGCAATCGCTATAGCAATTCGCAAAACAGTGATTACTAGGGGGGAATTCCGCTGCACAATGTTTGGTCCCTGATTCACAAACTGATTTTCGCTAGATGATGATTTTGACAGCTCCCTCCACACTCGCAAACAGGTGTTTTCGGGACTTAAGCTTCGCAAGACAGCGATTTAAACAGCTGATCGGCGGTTCGCAAAGCAGCTTTCCTATGGCCGATTTTTGCTAGACAATGACGATTCTTCCCCATTGGAATGCATTAAACAGGTTTCAATGCATTCCAATGGGGAAATGCTTTTCGCTAGACAATGATTTCGCTAAACAGCGATTTCAGTGGAACAGATTATCATCGCCTAGCGAGGCACCACTGTAGCCTTTACCTAGAAAACCCTGAAAAGGGTTGCCATAACTCAGAATTGACTTGATGGCACGTGATTATTATTAAAATTTCAAATGTCTGCTAACATGGTATAAAAAGAGTACAAACAAGCCATAAAGACAGATTTTACATTTGCGCAGTTCCCAAAAGCTTATCAGAAATGGATAAACTTATTGCCACCTGAAAGACAAGAGCATGAGGACAACCAAATCTTTAATGGACAGGAATTCTACAATTGCATTGCCATTATTCATAGAATCATAGAATAATGAAGTTGGAAGGGGCCTGTAAGGCCATCAAGTCCAACCCCCTGCTCAATGCAGGGGAGTTGAGAAAACCACGGCATGAGTAACAGCATTGCCATGAGGAGCAGAGCTTGTTTTTAAAGCCTGGGTTTATTGTTGATATTATTAATCTGAGTTTCTTGTTTTGAACTGTGCTACATGCTGTTTCAGGAGTTTTAAGTCACAAAGGAGCTTATAAAAAGAATTAAGTAATAAATAAACCTTTAGAAGAATTTGCTTGGTAAAGAAGTAATTTAAATGTTTCCTCCTGGAAATTCTTTCTCGGCCTCAAATCCCACTACTCCTAATTTCTCTGCTCCCAATTTCAATTTCACCCGAAGGCTTATCTGTGTTCACACACAGTGACTGGAACAGTGTGTGCAGATGGCAGTACATCCTCATTTTAAGACAACTCTGTGTGTGAGTGTGAGTGTGAGTGTGTGCATGAGCGCAATCTGCTGCTTAGTGTTTAAAAATTGGAAAGCAGCCTTTGCCTGCTACATGCCACAAGCCCTTCATGTCTTTGATTTTCTGCAAAACAATATAATGGGGTAATAATAGAAGCTTTTACCTCTTCTGCAGAAGCACAACCAGGCTTAATTGAATAATGTACTGTGTGTGTGTTTTTCCCTTCCACTGAAGATCCCGTCATGATGAAAAGAGTATGCCAGCTATGTTTAATAATTAATTTGAGCCAAAGGGGGGAAAGAAGGGGGAGGAATAAGGTACAGTACTTACTTTCTATATTTAATAATAGCTCTATTTGCTAAAAATGAAGCACATTTCAGGGCTACAGTAGAGTTCCATTTTGACCCCATGGTGTCTTTATTCAGAGATGCAAAAGTCAGAATCCTACTGGTGTTTGCATCAGATTTTTGTACCATGACAAGGTACCAGGGCCCGGCTCACTCACATGGCCAGTCCTACCACCTTTTCCACAAGCTAGGTAAATCCTGGCACTTCATCAACTAGCTGTGGCAATTACACAGACCTTATGCAAACATCAATACAATTACAGCTAATGCAGTAGGACCTCGACTTACGAACGTCCCTACATACGAACTTTTCAATTTACGAATGGCTCCGTTCGCAAGTCAATGCAATTTTTTGCGAACAGAACGATCAGTGCCTTCGGAGGTCTCAAAGGGCTTTACCCCCCCCCGACATCGAAGGAAGCTGTTTGAGACCTCTGAAGGCAAAAAGGCAGGGAGAAAGAGCGGGAAATTCAAATTTCCTGCTCTTTCCCCATGCCTTTTTGCCTTTTGAAATGCTGGAATGGATTAATTCCATTTCCATGCCTTTCAATGGGAAATGGTACTTCGCCTTATGAAGTTTTCGACATACAGACACCATTCCAAAATGGATTCAGTTCGTGAACTGAATCCAAGTAATAGGATGCAAGATTCATGAATTTTTTTCTGGCAAGGATGTTCCAGATCACAGCAAGAGAGGGGTGTTCATTATCCAGAAATATCCTTTCCTGCACTCCTTCTAATATTCTATTCATAGGCATCCTTCAGTCTCGAGAGACTATAGTAACATGCTCTGTATGGAGGACTTGGAACAGCGTCTAGTGTTTTGACGCTGTATGGAAAGCTGGAGTGTCCTCTCCAGGACACGAAGCCTGGGTAAAGTAATATGGAGGATAAGCTGTTACCCAAGCAGCAAATCCTCCCTCTCCATGTCACTGAAATAGTCCAATGGAAAGGCAAGAGCCACTACAACTGGTTTCAGCGACGTCGCAAGAGTTGACAGAATGACACAAACTGCCTCCGGGACTCTGGCTCCGGATTTTGCCTTGAGGTTAACTCCTGAAGCCTTTTACATTGGTGGATTTAGCCATTCTAACATTCTATTATATTGTTGGTATTTATGGAACTGCTGGTTGAAAGCATTCCAAAAGCATGTTCTCTCCCCAGACTACGTATACCCCAACTCACACAGAAATGGTAGAGCAGTCCTGGAATTATATACTCTCAGACCTTTGAAAGTCCTTTTAAAAAAGTGATTAGCTACTGTCCCCTAGTCAATTGACATTACACTGAAATTTTTAAAAAGTAAATTTTAACCACTTCTCAAAAAAGCTCATTGAGTAGTGGAAGCTTCATCTCTGAAGTCCTGTTCCAGTCCTGTGATCACTACACCGACTCTCCCAAAACATACTATGTGTCAAGAGACTGGGGGGAAAGAGGGTCATAGCTTCTGTTGGCCTTCTAGAAAACAGGCCTTGTAGTTTGTGTCTAGGATGAGGTGACTGGGAGAAGTGGGGGGAATTCCAACTGCTAATTGGAAGACAGCAACCATCTGTGCCTTTGCTTTGTCTCAGTGAAAATGAAAATTTCAAAGCCAGAGTGCACTCCTTAGCACTGAGTAGTAGTAGTAGTAGTAGAAGTTGTTGTTGTATATAAATCAAATTAATAACAACAATTTGATTTATATACCACCCATCTGGCAGCCAGGGCCACTCTGGGCGGTTTACAACTGATAAAGAACAACAGAATAACAAAATAACATGTATACAAAAACATAATAATACAATTGGGACATGGACAACTCTGGGCAGTTTACAACTGATAAACAAACAACAGAATAACAAAATAACATGTGTACAAAAACATAATAATACAATTGGGACATAAATCAAATATAAAATGCAATAAAAACAAATACAACACAATAAATTACAATCAACAGCATAAAATATAAAAGACAAGAAATATAATGAGTAGAATGGTTAAAGCTGGGTGAAGGGATAAGAAGTTATTCTTTTCTCCTGGAAAGTTCAAGGCAATTTGATGCCTGATTGGCAGATATCCTGGAAACCAGAATCTTGGGTATAAAAATGAGGAGAAATGTTATGTAGTTTGGCTTAGTTATCTCTGAAGGGAATGCTATGCTCATCTGCTAACTATATGTACCCCT